TCTCTCTCTCTCTCTCTCTCTCTCTCTCTCTCTCTATATATATATATATATATATAGATATAGATAGATAGATATATGCATGATTTTGTGCACAGTGGGGTCCCTCAGCCTGGCTGGTGATTGAGGCCTATAAGGAGGAGGGACTGTGGGAGGTTGGCCAGCCAGGGGGAAGGACCACAGGAGTGACCAGTTGTTTGGAGGGAGGGGCCACGGGAAGTCGGTTGGCCATTCGAGATTGGCTGTGGGAACACACTGACCACCAGGGGGCAGTGCACATCATAGCGACTGGTCAATCAGTCATTCCAGTTGTTCAGTTGCTTAGGCTTATATAAATATATAGATGCCATTTTGTTATTTTTCATTTGTGACTTAACTAGGCACTCAAACACTGGCTTTTTCCTAGGTTTTTCAACTAGAACATAAAACTGTGCTTATCATTCACAATAATGTGAATGTACCTAAAGATGTTTTTGCTAAGTAAAATAAGGCAGTCAGAGAAAGACAAATACATGATCTCACTCATATGTGGAAACTGATGAACAAAATAAAATTATGAACAAAATAGAAACAGAATTACAGATACATAGAAAAGACGGACAGCATTAGAGAAGGGTTTGGGGGGCTGAGTGAAAACAAAACAGAAATAGCCAACAGTATGTGATTACCAGAATGAAAGGAGTGTGGGGAGGTGAAAGAGGATAAACGGTGGGAGATAATTAAGGCGGAAAGCGACTCAACTTTGAGTAGTGAGTGCAGGATGCATTATGGAAATGATGTATTCAGTTATACACTTGAAACCTGTATGGTTTTAACCAACTAGAGGCCCGGTGCATGAAATTCTTGCACTGGGGGGAGGTGGGCATGTCCCTCAGCTCAGCCTGAATCCTCTCCAATCCAGGACTGCTGGCTCCCAACTGCTCGCCTGCCTGCCTGCCTGATTGTCTCTAACCATTTCCCTGCCAGCCTGATCGACACCTAACTGCTTTCCTGCTAGCCTTATTGATATCTAACTGATCCCCTGCCAGCCAGATCGCCCCCAAGTGCCCTTCTCTGCTGGCCAGGTCACCCCCAACTGCCCTCCCCTAGAGGCCTGGTTACCCCCAACTATCCTTCTCTGCTGGCCCAGTCACCCCTAATTGCCCTCCTCTGCAGGCCTGGTCGCCCTTTACTGCCCTCCCCTGCTGGATTGATTGCCCATAACTGCCCTTCCCTGCCAGCCATCTTTGACCACAAGGGGGCGGCCATCTTGTGCAAGGGCGTGACAGTCAATTTGCAATACCTCTTTATTATATAGGATGTCACCCATATAAATTAAATAAAAATCCATTTTAAAAATAAAATAAAGTTACACATATTGTTTCTATATGGAAATGTTTCTAGCACCATGTTATGTAATATTTTAAAATGATTTCTTTCAAATATCACAAAAAGCTTATCGCTATAATTCTTATAATTTTGATCATAAAAAGAAACTTGCTTAAATAGAATTAGGACTTAACTTTTGCTTAAGTAAATATCACTGAAATTCTATATATAAGTATCCTTGCTTATATATAGAAATTCAATCCCTGCAGCTTTTTAAAGTCTTGCCAAAGTTAAATTATAGAAATATTCTAGAATCACCCACTTCAAAAGAAAAAAATGCCAACATAGCTCTGGCTGAAATGACTTGCCAACCTATCAGAGAGTAGTCTCCTCTACTCTACTCCCAGCTTATTTAAATTGTATAATTAATTAAGAGAAATCAGCTTTTTATAAAAATTATCTTTGAACTTGATAATTCATCATTAAATTTAAAAAACACACAGAGGCTGTTAAATTAATCATTTCATATTTACTAAACCTTAACAGAGTAGATAAAATAAGATTCATATTAGTGGAAAATCTCTACAAAATATCTTAGAACAATGAAGACTGCCTCATCAATTCTGTATCTCCATGAAGGAAGTGAGCTATAAAAATAAAGCAGTGTATTTAGTACTACACCCTTTTTTTTGGTTATTTTCATTTACAGTCTGAAAGAGGTAGATCTTACTGTAACAACTGAGAAATGAATTGTGATAACAGGTGTAATAAGACTGTCATACACAACTAAAAATAAAGTCTCATAACCACAAAATGTATTTCTATAAATCTGAAGATGAAATGCTCTATTTTGCATCCACGTTCTTTTGTCTACAGTGAAATCCACTACCTAATCGTTTTAGAACTCTGGAAGTTTCCACAAAAAGGTGTACAACACAATTTAACTGATTTCAGCATTTAAACATTTTGTAGGCAAGCTATAGTATTTCCAAACAAGGGCTGAAAAAACAGAGTCAGATACCATATATTTTAGATTTGCTCAAGTATAAAAACAGACCTAGCCAACTTGCGTTCAAGAACATAGTAGAAACTGTGAATCCTACATTCTCATTAAAAAACACACAACTATTCTCATTAGCTATCGCCACCTCTTTTTTTCACTTGGTTAACAAATTCTAAAAAGAAATCAAAAGCTTACCAAACAATCCAGTTCCTTTTAATATCTTCTACTACTACATAATATTATCTAATATACTTAGTCCACCTAAAACAGTAGACAAAGTGCTGTCACTCATAAAGCTCTCAGCCCATTACCTTCTACACAAAACAAACGGCACAGAGAAGTGTGATGGGATACACAACTACTTAATAAAATGTTAAGAGCTTACAAGCAGCAGCGTCCTAGTAAAATATGCTCAATTTTAAGTTAAATTCTATTTCTGACATGTATCTTCATTTCCTTTTAAAGAGTTGGAAACAATATTTCATTTAGTAGCTACTAATAAAACTTGGGTGGGGGATTGTTTGATTATGCTAATTCTGGCATTATAATTAGTCAAATTTCATGTACATTGTTTTTTCTTCACCACTGGCCTGTTGATTATCATGGCCAATGATGAAAATTTTTAAATATTTCACTCTCTAGGCTCTTTTCCCTATTGTATAATTTTTCACTTTAACCCATTTTAAATCCATTTTAAGTGTGACAGGGACATTTAAGTAAAATATTGTTTTTAGATATTGAAATAAAAGAAATTAAGGAATGAAATTAAAACGTTCAGAAATTTTCCCATTTTATATGCAGAGACCTAGTACTGATTTCTTTTATATGTCTGTTCTAACCTGAAATTAAAGCAGTACAACTGTTCTTAGTCACAGAAACATTTAGCCTGTTTGTCCAATGACTTGCCTATATATCCTAGTTTCTTTACAAATGGTATGTTCATATATATGTAACTTACCAAAACTCTGAATCAAGATGTGCAGTCTTCTCAATTTGTGAAGTGGTAAAAAATATTATCAAAAAGCTAGTATGAATTAAATATGCTGTTTGTTTCATATCCCACACTCAGGTTTTATTTTTCACTTGGTATTTAAATGAGCTATCACACAAAACTAATCATTTTTATGTTTTGTGTTATTGGCTAGAGAAGAGTTTAAATTAATTTTAGTTTTTACATAGGATAGGAACCCATTGTCAGAACAAATCTAAATTTAATCATAATATATACAAAGGAACAGATAAGGCAATGAACACAGAAACAGATACATTAAAAGAATAATGAACACATATTCCAATAAAGGGAAAATAAGGCAGCTATGCAATACAGCTCTGGAAATGTATACATTAAACAATGCAAAACTGCTAGGCAGCCTCATGTATTGTATAGTTCAGAAGTTCCAAGAAAATACAGAAGTGGTAGAAAATGTAATAAAACTTTAATCTGAAAATCAATACTCGCTGCTTCAGAAAAGTTATATAGAAAATATATCTCTCAATACAGTAATCAGTCTTAACTGAATTCAGTAATCTCATTAACTGAATCAATGTCCAGAAGAGATCATGTGGGATGGGTCTTTTGAACTACGTTTTGTTTTATTTGCTGCCTTGGTTTCATCCTGCAAGTAGATTCCTGGAGCTCTTTTAGAGGAAGTGTTCAACTCTTTCTGAAAAGCAACAGTAGTACAGGGCTTTATCACAGCTGTTGCTAAATCTACATCTGCTTCTTTTACAGAGACTTGCTCTTTCAGGACTTCCACCTTCTCATTGAGCTCATTTCTTTCCATTTGAAGAGCTCTAAACAGCTTCTCTAACCGTCCCAGTTTCATTTGAGAGGACTTGTACTCTTTATCACGAATAGTTTTCTGAAGAAAAAAAAAATGACAGAATTTATGTAATCTTTGTATATATAAACAGAAATTAGATTATTGTATACAAAATTAACTAATCTAAGCCACACTGGAAACTACTTTTTATCATCTCTTGGACATCCCAGTATATGTATATACTGATATTTAAAATATTTATAATTATATGAAGCAATGCAAAAATTAAATTCTTTGTCATATTTCCTTCAAGTAATCAAGATCTACTTCATGACTTTAAATAGTAAGTATTAAGGAAATTCGGCATCTTAATTTAAAATGCTAGAAATAGGAATGTTTTTGTCTACATAGATTTTTTTTTATTCTCTTCCACCTTTTAGAGCCCTAATGTTTTCTCTTGTGGAATGTTATAAACTAGCCCTACCAAGTTTATGAAAGTGAGACATTTAGAAACTGTACATGGAATTCATTTCACTGTTATTTACAACAACTATGACAAAAAGTAGTTTGTTGCCTTTTGGAAAGAATAAATCAGGGCAGAAAAGCAGTAAATTACAAGTTAATCAAATCAAATTAAATCTTAATCAAATTGTCTTTACTGAAGATCACTGACTTTCAGGTTGTGGCCTTTGAATCAACATCAGTATTACCTGGATAATTTTTAGAATTGCAAATTCTTGGGCTATATCCCAAATTTAATGAATCAAAAACTGTGAGGGGAACAGTGTACCAAGTTTAATAATTCTTAATATGCATAAGCAAAATCACGATACTTTAGAGCTGTCTATAACATAAACCTGAGCTAATTAGTTGGGGAAATAAATTTAAATATCTCACTAAATCTAAGTTAAGTAAACTAATTAAACTTTAGTAATCAAACCAGCAATTACTTTAGTAAACATCCAGACATTCCATCCTGCCTTAATATGAGCATTCACTATTCAGTCATGTAAAACCTTCTCACCTCTTCAGCCATTTGCAGAAGTACTTTATTATTACTTTCCCATTTGGTACGCCATATTATCATTTCTTTTTCCAGTTTCTTAATTTTCTTTGTCATCTGCGAATCAACACAATATGAATTTAAATTCTAAGTTGAATTCCCTGACCTACCTATCACAGAAACTTTTTTTTCTTTAAAAGCTCTTTTATTTTTATAACTGTTTCCTAATAATCTTACTCTTCATTCTGTTGTCATTTCTCCCTTTGGACTTTCCTATTGATATTTTAGTGAAAGAAAATGTTTTGACCCTTGGATTTTTATTTTTAATACTAGAGGCCTGGGGCACGGATTCATCCACACTGAAAGGAAATTAGAAGGTGGCCGGTAGGGTAAGACTGGGCAAGATGGGCCAGACATGCCCTGGAGCCAACCTCCTGCACTCCCTCTCTGGCTTGCCGCACGTGGGGCAGCATCAGGGCTCAAAGATCATTTGTGGAGTGAGCAGGGTCCCTCCTGCAGTTGGGGTCCCTCGGACTGGCTTGTGGGGATTGGGCCAAAACCAGCAGTCCAACATCCCCCGAGGGTCCCAGAATGCAACAGGGGACTCTTCAAGATTGCTGTCGCTTGGCAGCTCCAGCACTGAGCGTCATCTGCCTCTGGTGATCAGTGTTTATCATACCTACCATTCAGTTGGCCAGTTGCTTAGCCTTTTACATATATAGATATTTTTTTTTACTGTTGATAGTATTACAGATGTCTCCCATTTTCCCCCTTCAGAAACATTTTATAATATTCTTCCCCACTCTCATCATTGCACTTGTTTCAACTAGCTGATAGTCTGCATATCTTTAGAAGTCGAATGTGCTATCCATTGCGCCACGGAGCCACCTATGCATATCTTTATAAAAAATAAATTTTATATTCTCAGTTTCAGAGGAAGCAGCAAATGCTAACTTCAGATACCACAATTAACTCTCTCAGATAAGGCTGCAATGCATTTCATTCCAATGGAAGATACAAGACTTCCTGCTTCCTCAGTTATATAAAAAAAGTCCTTGTTCTTGTTTTCTGAATATAATCACTAGAGGCCCAGTGCATGTGCACTGGGGGAGGAGGGTCCCTCAGCCTGACTCGCACCCTCTTGCAGTCCGAGACCCCTCAAGAGATGTCTGACTGCCGGCTAAGGTCCACTCCCCGCCACCACCACTGCGCTCGCCAGCCAGAAGCTGGGCTTGCTGCTCCTTAGCACTGCCTCAGAGCCTCTCTTGCCACCACCACTATGTTAGCCAGCCGTGAGCCCAGCTTTTGGCTGAGTGGTGCCCCCCTGTGGGAGTGCACTGACCACCAGGGGGCAGCTCCTGCACTAAGCGCCTGCCCTCTGGTGGCCAGTGCACATCATAGTGACCAGTAGTTCTGCTGTTCGATTTGCATATTAGGGTTTTATTACATAGGATTATACTAATTCATCAGAGTCTTGGATAGAGATTCTTAGCCTCCGAAGAAATTACGACTCTAAAACCACATTGGTATCAGAACTAAAGGACAGAAGAATTTAGGTGACTAGAAAGGTGCTATTAAAAGTATGAAACCTTTAGCTTTTGTTTTCCTCAAAACTCACAAGACTATTTTATTTCAGATTTTGTCAAAGATAAAATGGGTCCAAAAATAAGGAGAATGTACTTAAAGCAATGCTGTAATATTCCAATTTTCAGAAATTCAGAATAAGATTTAGGTATACCTGTCAAACAAGGATGACAAAGCCAATGCCCTATGTCATGGGTTATTACCACAAAACTGCACCACAAGACATGGCTTCATGCTGACCTACTGGGATTTCTGTAGCCACTATCAAAGAGCAAAGTATTCCTGCCCAGAGATTCTCTCCAGGATAGTGAATTGAGAATTGCTCTCTTAAAATGTTCCATGTCAATAGCATGCATGTGCTATAGTACAGATAACACATTTTTACTGTACATACAGCTCCCCTTAACTGAAGTCTCAGCTTAAAAAAACGGCAGGTAAAATTCATCTGCTCAGGCTCATTGAATTCTCCATATTGCTGAATCTAAAAATACATGAAGGTAGTAACATAAACAATGTCTGAAATGCAGCAGATACTTTTGTTATTCTCATTTTTCTTTTTCTTTTTTAATATATTTCAAGAAAAACGATATTAAATATAATTTTGCATGCAATAAACATTAATATTTTCAACAATCTTAATTCTAATGTCACATACAATAAACTAATATTTCAAGAAAAAGATTTCAAGTATAATAACTATAATATCACACAGTTGTAGGAAATATTAAAAATATGCAAATAAAGCATTACTTCTATTAGATTCTAAATTATTTTTTCTCTCTGGCATTATTTTTGTTCATCAGTTTATATTGTTCACTAGAGGCCCGTTGCACGAAGAGATTCGTGCAATAGGCCTTCCCTTCCCCTGGCTGCTGGCACCGGTTTTCCTCCGGCATCTGGAACCCAGGCCTTCGCTCCGGCCGGAGCCTTCAGTCTTCGCGGCTCCAGATGGAACCTTCAGTCTTCACTCCGCCATTTTGCTCCTACGTATGCAAATTAACCGCCATCTTTGTTGGGTTAATTTGCATACTCTGATTGGCTGGTGAGCATAGCAGAGGTACAGTCAATTTACATGTTTGTATATTATTAGGTAAGATTATATTCCAAAAATGAGTGAGATTATGTGATATTTATTTTTCTAAAACTGGCTTATTTCACTTAGCACAGTGGTCTCCAGTTTTATCCATGCTGTTGCAAATGGTAAGAGTTCCATCTTTTTTACAGCAGCTTAGTATTCCATTGTGTGGATGTACCAGTTTTTTAATGCCCTCACCTGCTGATGGGCACTTAGACTGTTTCCAAATCTTAGCTATTGCAAATTGTGCTGCAATGAATATAGGGGTGCATATATCCTTTCTGATTTGTGTTTTTGATTTCTTGGTATATATTCCTAGAAGTGGGAAAACTGGGTCAAATAGGAGTTCCATTTTTAGTTTTTTGAGGAAACTGTTCTCCACAGTGGCTGCACCAGTCTGCATTCCCATCAGCAGTGCAAAAGTGTTCCTTTTTCTCCACATCCTCACCAGCACTTGTCACTTGTTGATTTGTTGATGATAGCCATTCTAACAGGTGTGATGTCAGGTACCTCATTGTTGTTTTGATTTGCATTTCTTGGATGCTTAGTGACTTTGTGCATGTTTTCATATGTCTCTTGGCATTCTGTATGTCCTCTTTTGAAAAGGTCCTTTGCCCACTTTTTGATTGTCTATCTTCCTTTATTAAGTTGTATAAGTTCCCTGTAAATTTTGAAGATTAAACCCTTATTAGAGAGAACATTGGAAAATATGTTCTCCCATTCAGTAGGCTTTCTTGTTGTTCTGTTGATGGTTTCTTTTGCTGTGTAAAAGCCTATTTTGATGTAGTTCCATTTGTTTATTTTCTCCTTCATTTCCATTGCCTTAGGAGCTGTATCAGTGAAGACACTGCTACAACGTATGTATAATATTTTGCTGCTTATGGATTCTAATATTTTTATGGTTCCCCGTCTCATGTTTAAGTCCTTTATCCATTTTGAGTTTGTTTTTGTGTATGGTGTAAATTTTTTGCTGTTCTAGTTTCATTTTTTTGCACATTACCTGTCCAATTTTCCCAACATCATTTATTGAAGAGACTGTCTTGACTCCATTGTATGCTCTTGCCTCCTTTGTCAAATATTAATTGAGCATAATGGTTTGGATTTCTGGTTTCTCTGTTCTGTTCCATTGGTCTATGTCTGTTCTTGTGCTAGTAACAGGCAGTTCTGAGAACAGTGGCTTTGTAATATAGTTTGATATCTGGTATTGTGATCCCTCCAACTTTGTTCTTCTTTCTTAGGATTGCTGTGACTATTTGTGGTCTTTTCTTTTATTCCGTAAGAATTTGTTTTAAGTCTGTGAAATATTCCATTGGTTTCTTAATGGGGATTGCATTAAATCTATAGATTGTTTTGGGCAGTATGGATATTTTAATGATGTTGAATCTACCAATCCATGAACATGGTATATTCTTCCATTGTTTATGTCTTCCTCTATCTCTTTTTTCAACATCCTGTAGTTTCCCAAGTACAACTCTTTTACCTCCTTAGTTAAGTTTATCTTAATTTTTTTGTTGCAATGGTAAATGGGATTGTTTCTTCAGTTTCTCTTATTGTGAGTTCACTATTGGTGTTAAAAAAGCTATAGATTTCTGGGTGTTAATTTTGTATCCTGTTACATTGCTGAATTCCTTTATTAAGTCTAATTTTTTTGATAGAATCTTTGGCGTTTTCTACATTAAGTCATCTGTGAATAATGACAGTTTTACTTCTTTTCCAATTTGAAAACCTTTTATTTCTTGTCTGATCACTATGGCTAGCACTTCCAGTATTCTGTTGAACAGGAGTGGTGAAAGTGGGCATTCCTGTCTTGTTCCTGTTCTTAGGGGAAATGGTTTTAGCTTTTGCCCATTGAGTATGATGTTGGCTGTAGGTTTGTCATATATGGCCTTTATAATGTTGAGATATACTCCCTCTACTTCCACTTTGCTGAGAGTTTTTACCAAAAATGGGTGTTGGATTTTGCCAGATGCTTTTTCTGTGTCTATCGATATGATCATGTCATTTTGTTTGTCAATTTATTTATTGATTTGCAAATATTGTACCAGCCTTGCATCTCTGTAATAAATCCTACTTGATCATGGTGTATGACCTTTTTAATATATTGTTGGATGTGATTTGCTATTTTTTTTTTTTTGAGGACTTTAGCATCTATGTTCACCAAGGTTATTGGCCTATAATTATCTTTCTTTGTAGTGTCTTTATCTGGTTATGCAATGAGGGTAATTTTATGCTGGCTTCATAAAAGGAGTTTGGAAGTGTTCCTTCCTCTTGGGTTTTCTGAAGGAGTTTGAGGAGTATAGGTGTTAGTTCTTCTTTGAAAGTTTGATAAAACTGCCTGGACCCAGGCTTTTGTTTGCTGAGGTGTGTGTGTGTGTGTGTGGTGTGTGTGTGTGTGTGTGTGTGTGTGTGTTTTATTTTTTATTACTGCTTCTATTTTATCAGTTGTTATTGGCCTAATCAGGTTTTTTGATTCTTCCTGATTGTTTTGGGAGATTGTATTTTTCTAGGAATTTGTCTATTTACTCTATAATGTCCAGCTTGGCATATACAGTTGTTCATAGTATTTTCTTGTAGTCCTTTGTATTTCTGTGGCATAGTGGTTACTCCTCCACTTTCATTTCTGATTTTATTTAATTGGGTCCTCTCACTTTGCTTCTTGATGAGTCTGGCTAATGGGTTATCAATTTTGTTCATCCTTTCAAAGAACCAGCTCTTGGTTTCATTGATCTTTTTGTATTTACTTTTTAGTCTCTGTTATTTTTGCTCTAGTCTTTATTATTTCCTTCTTACTCTTGGCTTTTTGTTGTTGTTGCTTTTTAAGTTGTATGGTTAAATAACTTATTGCTGATTTTTCTTGTTTTTAGAGGTATGCTGGTAGTGCTATGATCTCCCATTTCAGGACTGCTTTTGCTGTCTCCCAGAGATTTCTGGGTTGTTGTATGTTCATTTTCATTTGTTTCCAGTAAGTTTTTTTTTTATTTTATTTCTTGATCCGTTGGTAACCCAATTCTTTGTTTAATAACATGCTATTTAGCCTCCATGTATTTGAATGTTTTGGGGTGTTTTTACTGTAGTTGATTTCTAACTTCATTCCACTGTTGTCTGAGATGATGTTTGATATGACTTCAACTTTCTTAATCTTGTAGAGACATGTTTTGTGTCCTACCATGTGGTCTATCTTTGTGAATGATCTATGTGCACTTGAGAAAAATGTATATTCTGCTGCACTGGGGTGAAATGTTCTATAAATATCAATTAAATCCACCTGATCCAGTGTGTTCTTGGAGTCTCTATTTCCTTGTTAAGTTTTTGTCTGGAAAATCTATCCAGTGAAGTCAGAGGGGTGTTAAAGTTCCCTACTATGACTGTATTGTGGTCAATCTCTCCCTTAAGGCTGCTAGTGGGTTTTTTTTTGTTTGATTTGTTTTGTTTTTTCATAAATTAGGTGCTCCTGTATTGGGTGCATATCTTTATCAGGGTAATATCCTTTTGTTGGATTGATCCCTTTAGTATCACATGGTGACTTTTGTTGTCTCTTGTGATGGCCTTCATTTTAAAGTCTATTTTGTCAGATATGAGTATTGCTACTCCACCTTTTTCTTTTCCATATGCATGGAAAATTTTTCCATCCCTTCACTTTCATCCTGTGTGTATATTTTTTTTTTTTTGAAGTGGGTCTCTTGTAGACAGTATATAGTTGGGTCATGTTTTTGTATCCATTTAGCTACCTTATCCCTTTTGATTGGAGTATTTAATCCATTTACATTTAGGGTTATTATTGATAGGTACTTATTTATTGCCATTTTAATTCTGTATGGCTAGGTTTCTCTTTCTGTTTCTTCTTCTCAATACAGCAATCCCTTTAGCATTTCTTCTAATGCTGTCTTGGTGGTGATGTTCTCTTTAGCCTTTTATTTTTTATTTTTTTGTCTGGGAAGCTCTTTATTTGATCGTCTATTTTGAATGACAGCCTAGCTGGATACAGTAATCTTGGTCTCAGATCCTTGCTTTCCCTTATCTTGAGTACTTCTTGCTGTACCCTTCTGGCCTGTAGAGTTTCTTATGAGAAATCAGGTGTCAGCCTTACAGGAACTCCTTTGTAGGTAACAGTTTTCTTCTCTCTTGCTGCCTTTAAGATTCTCTGTCTTTAATTTCTGGCTCCTTAATTATGATGTGTCTTGGCGTAGGAATGTTTGGGTTCTTATTTGGTGTTCTCTGTGACTCCTGAACTTACGCGATTTTTCCTTTACCAGGTTAGGGAAGTTTTCTGCCATTATTTCTTCAAACACCTTCTCTATGCCTTTCTCCCTTTATGCCTCTTTGAGCACATCTGCTATTTTAATATTGTTATGTTTCACATTGTCCCACAGCTCCTTTATGCTGTCCTGTTTTTTATTTTTTTTCTTTGTGGTTCTCTGATTGATAATTTCAACTTTCTCTTCTAATTCACTGATTTGTTCCTTAGTTTCCCCTAATCTGCTGTGTATTCTTTCCAATGTGTTATTTGTGTTGTCATTCTTTGTCTCAGACTGTTTTTTCATAGTTACTATAATTTTTTTCATGCTGTTGAGCATCTTTACCATCATTACTCTGAACTCTGTTTCAGATAGATTTCTTATCTCTGCTTCATTTATCTCTTCTTCTGGAGAATTCTCTAGGTCTTTCATTTGGGGGTTGTTTCTTTATCTCCTCATTGTGGCTTTCTGTTTGGGTTTATGACTATGTATGAGGTAGATCCTCTGCACCTCTCAATCTTTAGTGCTAGACAGTGTTAAAGGCTGTTTCTGACTAATTGGATCTGGCAAAGACTCAAAGTCCCCAGAGACTGCCTTTTGATACCACTTGAATTGCCCCCAGGCCATTATAACATTGTTGGGCAGTTGCTTCTGCCTGGGGCTAATTGTTATTTTTAATCTCTTTAGTAGCCTCAGGACAAGGTATTTTTCAATAGCGTTGTGTCAACTATCTTCCCTCCAGGCAAGACAGATGTCTAGGTGGGAAAGATGTCCTCCCCTGAGTCAGAGAATGACTCAGCCCAGGAAACTTGGGTGTCTGCCTTCTGAACTCTACCCTGGAGTCCCCAGTTCTGGCTTCTGCTCTCAGCTCTAACCCACTCTGTTCTCTCGCTCCAAGAGCACAAAGTGGATGGCTCCACAGGTAATTTTGTGCATTGGCTCTTTAAGAGGGTGCCTGAATTTTCAGCTGTTACTCTCTGGCAGACAGTACCCCGCTGCTTTTCAGAGCCAGATGTTATGTGGGTAACCTCCTCAGTTTTGGTGCTCTGTGTTGGGGGGGCCCAGCTCTGGGATCAGACCCCCGAGTTCTCAATTGCAACCTCCCACAGCTGAGATATCTCTCCGGGACTTCAGTTGCTGTCTATAAGCATCCAGCAAGCCCTTTCTAGCCTCCTCCCCTCCTACCAGTCTCTATGCTGTCTTTATTTTATGTCCTCGGGTGTCAGGGTTCTCTCCTGCGAGTTTTCCATTGATTATCAGGAAGTTTTTCTATATTTTAGGTGTATTACCAGTTTGTTCCTATGAACATGACCATTCAGCATCCACTTACTCTGCCACCAGTTTTAATCTCCCTCGTTATTCTCATTTTTAACAATGAAGGAAAAGGGAGCTTAAACAACATGTCAATGGTCTTTAATAAATAATGTAAGAAATTATTAATGTGAGAAATCTGACCATTGTATATAAGAGTTCAACCAGTATGCAATATATGATAATAGTGACTAATATCTATTGACAGGTTACAAAATGCCAGGCCTTATTGTTACTTATCTTCTAATGACCACCTTTTCATTTTTTTAAAAAAAATATTTTATTCATTTTTTACAGAGAGAAAGGGAGAGGAATAGAGAGTGAGAAACATCGATGAAAGAGAAACATAGATCAGCCACCTCCTGAACACGCCCCCACTGGGGATGTGCCCACAACCAAGGTACATGCCCTTGACCAGAATCGAACCTGGGACCCTTCAGTCCACAGGCCAATGCTCTATCCACTGAGCCAAACTGGTCAGGGCAGACCACCTTTTCATAAAATCTCAATTTTAAAGGGGAAATGCCAAAGTAAATAGCTTGCCCCAAGGAAGTCACACAATGCAAAAATCAGATCTCAGTTCCAGAATCTATGCTCCAAACTAAGGTGTTCCCTGTTTATTTTAGGACAGTGATAGATAACTGTAGTCTTTAAAATTGAATTTTAGTCCATATTCTGAAGTGGAATGACCCAGACAGTTTTCTATGACAAATTTTAGTTTCTAAAATTGGTAAGGATGTCCTTGTATGCTATATTAGTAAGTAAAGTAAAATTTTTTTTAAAAAAGTAAAAATGCCCTGACCGGTTTGGCTCAGTGGATAGAGCGTCAGCCTGCAGATTCAAGGGTCCCAGGTTCGATTCCGGTCAAGGGCATGTACCTTGGTTGTGGGCACATCCCCAGTAGGGAGTGTGCAGGAGGCAGCTGATCGATGTTTCTCTCTCATTGATGTTTTTAACTCTCTATCCCTCTCCCTTCCTCTCTGTAAAAATCAATAAAAATATATTCTTGAAAAAAGTAAAAGTATTTTAAACATTTAGTTAGATCCTTAGAAATAATCTATTCAAACCAAAATGTATTACTATGCTTGGTCTGATTCTTAAAACAAAACAAAAAACAAAACAATTTACACAACATTTTGTAAAAGAACTGAGAAGAAATCATCTGCAAGTGATTTTTTTAAAAATCTACTTCTAGTTCAGTTGGAGCTTTGTCCTGTACATTAAAAGGTCATGGGTTTGCCCTCGCTGGTTTGGCTCAGTGGATAGAGTGTCAGCCTGCGGACTGGAGGTTCCTAGGTTGGATTCTAGTCAAGGGCACATGCCCAGGTTGCGGGCACACCCTAGTTACTAGTGGGAGGCGTGCAGAAGGCAGCCAATCAATGATTCTCTCTCATCATTGATGTTTCTCTCTCTCCCTTCCTCTCTGAAATCAATAAAAAAAAATATTTTAAAAAAGGTCATGGGTTTGACCCCTGGTCGAGGCATCTACCTAGGTTTTGGGTATGGTCCCCTGGTTGGGATATGGGTGGCAACCAATTAATGTATTTCTCTCTCTCTAAGGTTGATAAAACAAAAAGCATATGCTCAGGTAAGGATTTAAAAAAAACTAATTTTAATAAAAATTGTCCTTTTTAGGAGAATCCTCTTAAATAATGACAGAATTTTGAGGGTTTGGAGACTATTAGCAATTTGAGGCAATTTCTGGACATAATGCATGAACATGCCAGTGAAGGATCAGAAAAGATAAACTTAACATTGTATCACAATATAAACTCTTCCAAACAATAATACTTAATCAAATTTAAAATAATCACAAGTAAATTTTCTAGTAATATTCTACTATAAATATGCAAATACCTTTTCCATTTCCTGCCTGAAGGTTGTAAACAGCTCATTGCTTTTTGCCATGGTAGTCTGGAATTCTTCAAACTTATCCATATAAAGAGAAAGCTACCGAAAAAAGTATAAAATATTCTGAGTTCCAGATAAGTAATTTAAAATCCAAAAGACTTCAAAATAATATGGCTAGACACTGGTGACTTGTCATATGTAATAAAAATAAGAACAAACAAATAGCAAATCTTGGACGAACCATACAGTAGGTAGCTAAAATTCTGATAAACCATTGAAGTTTATAAAATTTTGTTTAATCTGTGTAAATGCTTAAAATGTACAAATATTCCATCTATCATAATAAAACTAATGTACAGTGGTATGGCTATAAATATCATACAATCAATATTTTATGCACTACCACTCTCCTTACATTTCAAAAATTGTACTTGGAAAAAGGTCATTCTTTTATGTATACCACCTGCATCGTTTTTAGCTTGATTTCAAGGCTATCTTTTTCTTGAACACGGAAGGAAAACGAAACAAAAGAATGGTTTGGTTGAAAAAGAATTTAGTGGTAGTTGAGAAAAAAGGAAAGCTAAAAATGATAGAAACATCTTTCACAGCCTTCTAGCTAGAAAAAGAATGCTAACTGAATATAGAATGCAGTCATCTTTTTTAGGGGGAGAGTCACAGTAGTAGCCAAAAAAAAAAAAAAAAAAATGTGGATGAGCCCTGAACTATGACTTAAGGGCTAAATTTCTTTATTTAGACTAGGATGGATTACTTTATAAATGTTCTAATATAACTACATTATTTTCAGTATGAGAAAACGTAGGTCAAAAGAAATATTGTATTCCACCAGGAACATGCTCCAAGATCCCAAGTGCATACCTAAAATGATGCAATATATATATATACACACACACACACGCACACACACACACACACACACACACTATGTTTCCTTCTATACATACTTACTGATGACAAAGTTGATGAATTAGGCATAGAAATAGATCAACAAATATAGCTAACAATAAAATGTACCTTTTATAATAATATACTGTAAAACTTATGGGAATATAGTATGTCTCTTTCTCTGATAAATGGATACCAATCAGATAACTGGTAACGTATACAATGTGGAGATGCTGGACAATGGGATGATTTATGTCCGAGGCAGAACAGAGCATAAGGTACAAGATTTCATTATGCGATTCAGAATGCAAAGCAATTTAAAATTTATAAATTATTTATTTCTGAAATTTCCACTTAATATGATAAAACTGCAGAAAGTGAACCCATGGCTAAGGGTGACTGCTGTAAAGTGTTTTTGTGCCTCTGAGGCACAAAGAAAAGTGACAGTGCTTCTAAGGCTGCTGGCCTGGGAGAGTGTAGGAGAAGAAACAATGATGGTGGCTCAGGCAGATTGAGGGAGTTCTGGCACTTGAGGGAGGTGAGAAGTTATGGCAATTTTGGCATGGTCCGTTTTTATTGAAGATGGTACATCCAAGGTAGACTGCTCCATCTGAGAAGTCAATGCTGGCCCAGCCTGTTAGTTAGTTGTGAGGTCACCAACAATTGCTGGAAACTGACATGGCAAAAGCAAAGAAAGAAACCAACTCTTGGGAAAGACATCTACATCCACATATAGGGAGTGGGAAGACAAAGAATTGACAGCAAAAACAAATGAATAATTAGATAAGAAGACTTAAGAGTAACAAATCACAGACAACAAAAGAACTTAGTGAAAAGGCTCCCCTGTGACGTATTACTACAACAATTATCAATGACTCACAATAAGGAACATCTTTCCAAACTATACATAGGCTTTTTCTACCTTCCCCACATTGATTTTCTTCTCCATTTATGTGAACAACTGAATGTTTAGGGCCAATGCCCTGACTGGGTAGCAAATTGGTTAGAGCATCTTCCCAATATGCCAAGATTGTGGAATCCATCCCCGGTCAGGGAACATACAAGAATCAATCAATGAATGCATAAATAAGTAGAAGAACAAAATTCTACCTTTTTTTTCCCTAAAAACAACCAACCAAACAAAGAAACAAAACACACAAAACAAAAAACAACCCACAAACAAACAATGAATAAATGTATAAAGATAATGAGTAAAGGGTTTAAATTTACTAGAAGCATGCTAATAGGATCATTACAAACTTCTGATATTTGATTCCTCTTCAATTGTCACAGTAAGTTAGTTTAGTTTTATAGACTATCACTACATTATAAAATGTTCCCAAAGATAATGGTTGCTCATGAAGATAGATGCATGCCACTCTTAATGTATTAGTGTACTTCAGAACTAATTAAAGGAATTGTTACATTAAACATATGTTTTAAACAGGTAGTACTTTCTTGAACAGAATACAATCTAGTTAACTAAAAGAGAATAAATTATGCATATAAATACCTAATTGCTTCTGTCTGTTCAAACTAAGTAGGTATTAGTAATGCTTCAAATATGGAAAACCCATTCTTTCTTTCATCTTTTAAAAGAGTTTGAGCATCTGCTTACTTTATTCCACAAATAAGACACTCCAATGGGATAACAGGAAAAGACTGAACTGACATACAGAGAAAACCCTAATTTTTTTAAAAAGTACTGACACATACAATATCACCTGGAAGTGGGCCTGTGTAAGCATATGCAGTTTTTTAAATTACATATAGGAAAAAAACATGTATTTTTTGCCAGTTTTATTTTCCTCAAAGAACAAAAGTAGAGATACTAGAAAAGTATCGAGGATAATAGAAAGGGCACAATGAAAATAGGCTGAATAGTCATCCTTATTCCCCATGGACTGAGAGATTTCGTAGGACATAGAACTTATAATGTAAAATCAAGAAAAGTCAAATGCATGGAAAAAAATCCAAGAGGGTAAGAGATCTATTCTTCTGTTCTAGTTGGCTCTGCCTGGGATCAAGGAAACTCATAAATTCTATTATTCTCTGTTGTCAAGTTACCTGCTGTTTTAATTGTACTTCTTGATGTTTCATTTCTTCATATTTGTACCTCGATTCAGTTGCTTCTTTTAATAACTAGAAAACAGAAACATTCTGGCAAAATACTAATAGTAATTAACATATGTTTAAAATGTCAAATGACCAGATAACCTTAGCCTTTATTCATTATTTATGAAAGAATCACAGGTCAGTGGGTGAAACATCCTATTACATCTCCTGTCAATTATCTTTATTTTTTATCTATAACAGTTTAACACTTAGATATGTAAGAATAGTATTTTAGCTGCTTATAGAGAAGAAGTATCCTGGTGGCATAAGGTTTATCAAATCAGTGTTAAATTCTGCTATTTTGGACAAAAATAACTAGACCAAATGGAAACAGAAAACAAGACTAGAAATCCTGACAGTATCTGGGTTTAGAAGCTCTTCTATTCCATGAGTGGCAATTTGAGTAGAAAAAATATGGAACCAATTAATGAAAACAGAGATTAGATTTCTAACTCTGTTTCTGGGAAGAAGGGTTTGGCCAACACAGGGTGGGGCAAAGGTAGATTTATAGTATTAAGTACATAAAACACCGTTTATTCTTTTATCACTATTTGTTCGTTATTGTATTATTTTCTATACAAATAACGGTGAACCTACTTTTGTCCTACACTGTTTACATGGGTTTAAAAGAAAATTATATAGTAAAGTTGCATGGTACATAATTATGAAATTCAGTCTTTAAACTTCTCAAACAAAATGTTATACACAATTCAATTAAGCCTTTAAAAGTCATTAAATGAACCAGAAAGTATACACATGTACTACATGTATGTATGTGTATGTGTATATATGTTGAAAACAGCAATCTGTGAAATTGTATCTCTCTAAACCTTTGACCTGTACTTAATGAGTTTTTCACATCCTGAGGAATACCTGAATGATCCATTGAATGAAATAGTCCATCTTATGTAATAAAAGGCTACTATGCATATCGACCGAACAGCACAATGACCAGTCACTATGATGTGCACTGACCACGAGGGTGCAGATGCTCAATGCAGGAGCTGCCCCCTGGTGGTCAGTGCACTCCCACAGAGGGAGAAGCCGAGCTCACGGCTTTTGAGTGCAGTGGTGGTGGCGGCAGCCTCTCCTGCCTCCATGGCAGCACTGAGGATGTCCAACTGCCAGGGAGTAGGCCTAAGCCGTCAGACATGCCCTGAGGGCTCCCAGAGAGGGAGAGGGTGAAGGCTGGGCTGAAGGGACCCCCCCTCCCCATGCACAAATTTCGTGCACCGGGTCTCTAGTATTATTATAATCACTTACCACTTCATTTAAGTTACATATATAGTTTAATTTGCATATGTTAAGTTTGGATTCTAACTATAATCACAGTTGGAAAACGATATAAAATACTAGAGGCCTGGTGCACGAAATTCACGCACTCGGGGGTTGGAGGGTCCTTCAGCCCAGCCTGTGCACTCTTGCAGTCCAGGAGCCCTCGGGGGAAGTCTGACTGATGGCTTAGGCCCATGGGTCATCTTTAGCACTGCCACAGAGGCGGAAGAGACTCCCACCACCAACTGCTGCACTCGGCAGCCATGAGCCTGGCTTCTGGCTGAGTGGCGCTCCCCCTGTGGGAGCACTCTCACCACCAGGGGCCAATCCTGCATTGAGCATCTTCCCCATGGTGGTCAATGTGTGTCATAGCGACTGGTCATTCCACTGGTTGATTTGCAGATTAATCTTTTATTATCCTACTAGAAGCCTGGTGCATGAATTCATGAAGCAGTGGGGTCCCTCCACCTGGCCTGCAGGATCAGGCCAAAACCAGCTCTCTGACATCCTGAGGGTCCTGGATTGCATGCGGGTGCAGGCCAGACTGAGGGACCCCACTGCTGCACCGGGCCTCTAGTCCTATATAAAAAAAGCATAGTATGCAAATGTCCCCTCGACCGGAGTTCATCTGGGAGTTCAACCAGAGGGCAGGCTGGCCGGGGAAAGGAGGGAGGTCCCAGCTGGCAGCGCTGGTATGTGGCCAAGGGAAGGGAGGGAGGACGTGGCATGGGCAGGTGGCCAGGGGGAAGGAAGGGAGTACCGGTCAGGAGCCAGCAGCGGCAGCTGCTAGGGACCCTACCAGTGCATGAATTTTGTGCACTGTACCTCTATTATAATTAGATAACTGTCTAGAATAACTGTCTCTAGCTCGCACAGCCAAACTTGCCAAATGACTGCCACAATTTTGAACCTTGAGATTATTACCTAAAATTCAAGGAAATACTCAAAGAAAAAATAAAACATATACAGGTCTTTCCACTAATTTGGTCTAAAAATTCTAGTGTGTTTGTTATATGAAAATCTCATCAGAAATAAAAGGCTGAATGTATTCTAACATTTCTCAATCTAGAGTAAAAAAAAAAAAGCATGATTTAGATGTAAAATGTTGAATTAGTTTAAATGATGTTAAAAGCTTTGATTATAATTCTGGCAATACATTTCTTTAAGAAATAGAACTTACAAACTCTCTCTCTCTCTGATGTTTTTCATCAGCTTCCTTTATGAGTTGTGTTGTTTGCTGAAGCTTGGCATCCACAAGCTGTTGTTGCAGTTCCTTACGTTTGAACACTTTATCAATACGCTATAGAAAAAATAAAATTTCTTCCAACACTTAGTAAAAAAAGGGAACACATGGATGAAAAGAAATAACATGAGCTACAACTACTTGCTTCTGTTTTTCCTGTTAATATAATCATAGTTAATACCATTAAATGTTTCTGTCCCTACGCTTGCAAAAGCATCTATGTATATCACCTTGCACCCATCCTGAACCTGCAGGAATCATCCCCGCTGATTACTACATGGTACCCATGGTTGTTGAAGTTGAAGGTAATCTGTCATCCATCAACAGTTTTGTACTTCCCATTTCTGCTCTACATTAAAAATTAGGTCTAAGTTATCAAAAAGGATGGAGATCAAACTATTAAACTCATTCATAACACACATAAATTCCTGAACATTTTTTTTCTCATTAGATTTCCCCAAATTTCTTAATGCAGGTAAGTTGCATGATATAATGGTAGAAAAAACCTAGGGTCAAACCCAGGCTCAGTGAATGGCCTTGGGTAAATTCTGTCCCTTAATAAACCTCAGTTCTGTATCTATGAAGGTGAAAACCACATATACTTTACAGAGTTATAAAAATCCATGCAATGATTAAACTAAGATGCTTGGTGCCTAGCATGTATTACATGCACAATTGGTAAGAGAAGAAGTTATTATTATTTTCAAACTCAATTGTTAAGTGGTATTTATGGACAATAAAATAATTAGAATACTGTTCACAGATGAAGAAATAATATAACTCTTTTAGTTATAAAATCCTATGTAATAGAAAAAAATGCTGATTTATAACAGGTAACTTAATTAAGTTTTGAGGAGTACATGAGATCTGTCTTTGATTGAAAATAGTTCAATATATTATTAAATTATATCTTAACCAAAAAAGAAAATTTGGTAATACCTAAAATAAATAAGACAAGTGATATAAAAATGTACTTTAAAATTCACATTAATAGGGAAGTAGACTATCATTCTTAAAAAGGTAAAAATTTAAAGACTCCATTTAACAAAATAAGAAGTTTGTAAAAAATAAATCTACTAAAAATAAAATTCACTCAGAGGCTTAAAACAAGTTTCCTTAAAAATATATTGCAAGGAAGGGAAGAAAAGGAGAGAAACCTACACATGAAAAAGAGCTGAGACATAGTAATTAATAAAACATATAAACCTTGTTTGGATCTGATTCCAGAAATCTTAACCATATGGGTGGGACATAGAAATGTAAATAGTGACAAAGCATTTAATTGATTATTGATAAATTCTTAGATGTAACCATGTTATCGTGGTTCTGCATCAAAAAAAGTTCGTGGCTGTTATTTCAATATATGCATTCAAATAGTGCTGTGAGTGATGTCTTGTATTTCTTTAAAAACGAATAAAATAAGTTGCTAGACACAAAAGTGGATAACTTCTGAAGCTAACTGATGTATATTTTACTTTTAAGTTTGAAACTTGCTATGATAAGTTAAAAAACTATTAAAAGATGAAAGAGAACAGTCAAATATGTTTTCAAAGACTTTTTAAAACTAAATTAAAACAAATCTCAAATTTGAATTGAAATTGGATAAATGCTTTAAGTGCTCTTTTGGTAGCAAAACACATAAAACTTTTCATTTTAAATAGTCATAATCTTTAAAAATTATTAATTTTAATCTTTTCATGTAAGGAACTCAATATACACAAATAAAAGTAACAATTTTTTATTATCTTAAAGCATAATAAAGACAGGGAGGCATTCTTTGAAAAACCCAAAGCCTCCCACACTACATATTTGATCTCTTAAAGTAAGAAAGCTAAAATAAGCAGTTTATCACCAATTTACTTCTAATCTAGACACTATCTAACTTCCAGACTAGCTTATAAAATAAGTGCAATGATCAGGTTCTGCAGCCACTGATCAATCCTTTAGACTTCTTACTTCTTTAGGTGTGTAATAAATAGGAGTGTGTGATGGATTAGAACTTTCATTAGCCTTCTCCCCAGATAATAGAGTAGGTGGAATGCAATGATACTTATACATTGTATAGATATTCATAGAAGTCTAAGATAGAGTATTTGGAAATACAATTGTATGCTAAAATCACCAGCTTCCAAGTATAAAATCACAATCTTCCAAGTATAACATGGCAAACAAACAGTACTTAATGCATCTGCTAGAAATTACTTCAGATATCCAAAGCCACGGACTCCTGGGCCATGGAGTGAGGGTCCCAATTAGTCCTTCAATTCACATGGTGCCAATTCTTTTCTAATAAATGCCTGATTTCTAACACGCATATACAAAAGATCTAAAATATTGTCCTGTAACAGTAGCTTTAAATTAGCAATGAATGGTAAAAGATTTTGATAATAATGAGATGCTGTCTAAATAAATAAAACATCTTTACCTCCTCTCTCAGTGTGTATTGTTCAATGAGCCTCTTCAACTTCTCTCCCAGTTCAATGTTTTCCTGACGAAGTTTGGTGTTGTGTATGTCATGTTGTTCCAGCTGTGTCTGAATTTCGTTTAAAGTAAACTGGAAATGTGACGTTGCTTTTTTACGACTTTCTTCTTCTTCTCTTGCTTGCTGCATATTTTCTTCCTTATCATCCAAAATAATTTCTGTTAATAGTGTTAAACTTATAGATAAAATGCTCACAAAAAAGGTGTTGTTGCTATGTGGGTTAATGTTACTTCTGAGCTACTATTCCTTCTTCTGACTAGAAAGCTCTTACTTAAGAGCACTGAGATTGTTCTAAGTAATTATCAGACAGATAAAACTGCCCTGATCTACACTAATAAAAGACAAACATGCAAACTGACCATACCTTCGCTATGCCTTAAGCCATGCCCAACAGCCAATCAGAGTGACTATATGCAAATTAACCCAACCAAGATGGCAGCCAGCAGCCATGGAGCTGGACGAGCAGAAGGCTTGGTTGCTCCAGTGATGGAGGAAGCCAAGCTTCCCGCCTGCCGTGGCCGGCTCTGAGTTCCACTGAAGGCAACAAAGTTTCAATTATAGAAGATAAATAAATCCCAGATACCTGCTATCAGCCAGCCGTGGCCACGGAGCTGGAGCAAGCAGGAGGCTTGGTTGCTCCAGTAATGGAGGAAGCCAAGCTTCCTGCCTGCCACGGCCAGCCAGCAATGAGCTCCACTGAAGGCAATAAAGTTTCAATTAGAGAAGGTAAATAAATCCCAAAATAAAAAAATAAAAAAAGGAGAGGCTTGGAGCTTCCGTCGCCGAGGGGCTTGGCCAGCCTGAAAACGGCCCTCAGCCCCTCACCCAGACTTGCCAGGCACCCCAGTGGACCCCCCACCCTAAAGGGGTGTGGCCAGCCTGAAAACAGCCATCAGCCACTCACCCAGGCTGGCCAAACTTCCATGGGGTGGGGGGCCCCACTGGGTTGGGCTTGACCAGCTGCAAACAGCCATCAGCCCCTCACCCAGGCTGGCCAGGCACCCCAGTGGGGACCCCCACCCTGAAGGGGGTGTGACCAGCCTGCAAACACCCATCAACCCCTCACCCAGGCTGGCCAGGTACCCCAGCAGGACCCCCACCCTGATCTGGGACACCCTTCACTGCAAACCAGCTGGCCCCCACCCATGCACCAGGCCTCTATCCTATATAATAAAAGGGTAATATGCAAACTGACCCTAACAGCAGAATGACTGGGAATGACTGGTCACTATGACACACACTGACTACCAGGGGGCAGACACTCAATGCAGGAGCTGCCCCATGGTGGTCAGTGCGCTCCCATAGGGGGAGCTCTGCTCAGCCACAAGCCAGGCTGATGGCTGCCAGTACAGCGGTGGTGGCGGGAGCCTCTCCCGCCTCCTCAGCAGCGCTAAGGATGTCAGACTGCAACTTAGGCCTGCTCCCCGCTGGCAAGTGGACATCCCTCCGAGGGCTGTCGGGCTGCCAGAGGGATGTCTGCCAGCTTGGGCCCGATCCTCAAGGGAGCGGGCCTAAGCCGGCAGGTGGACATCCTCCAAGGGGTCCCAGACTGCAAGAGGGCATAGGCCGGGCTGAGGGACCCCCCCACCCCCGAGTGCACAAATTTTTGTGTACCGGGCCTCTATTATAAAATAAGTGTTATTTGACCATCTAGACATTCACTGCACTAAAGTAGTAGGAGCTTCTCCATAGTCAGCTCTTCCACATTAAATGTCCTCCTCAGAGTTTAGGCAGACCATCATCCTATTCGATCAGCTTGAAGAGATATTCTTTCCAGATTATAGACCCTACCATTCTAGTCAAAATGCTGACTTGTTATGTGAAAAAAAATGAAACAACTACACAACCTACTTTAATACATCAAAATTCAAGATTTCATAAGCAAGAAAACACAAAACTCTTATACCTGATGAAGATTCATTTCACAAATTGGCCTCTAATCTAGATCCTTGGGGACTTGCTGTGACAGAGTAATCTGACATCTTGCTTAATTTAATCTTACTCCAACTGTACATTCTTACCTATTTCTAAAGGCAGACATGCCCCCATTATATGGATTCTTTCTAGCACTTCTGTTCTTTTCTTTTGTCTTCCCATTGACACATATTTTGATACCTGCTGCCTCTTCCTTTATAAATAGCCAAGGTATAACTCTAAAATATTTAGCAAATAGCTGAAGAAGGCCTGAGAGCATAAAACAAACTAATACATTACCATCTGTAGTATTTCTCTACCTCCTAATTTCTTGTTTCAAACTCATTTTCACTCAAATCTACTGCTAGTAATCTCATTTCAAGTAGCCATTTCATTCCTTATTCAAGGAGGACATGGTAATCAACTACATTGATGGTCAGCAGAGCATGTGGTGACCTTGAGCTTTTTAAGCTGAAGGACTATGTGTAAACATCCCTAAACATAAAAGTAGATTCGTTTAATGAAATGAGATACATTCAGGAGCTCTTCCTTGAACCCCAAATCAAAAGTTGGATAGAAAGAGTGAGTCTTCAAATTTACAATGACCTCAGCACTAGCCCAAGCAAACTAAAAGCAGGGTAGTATATCTTTGAGGACCCCACAAAGCCCTCTGTTCAGAAACTCTGTCCACCAGAGCAAGTGTACTTAGTTCAATCACCAGTTATTATTACACTAGAGGTCTGATGCACAAAATTCATGCAAGAGTAGGCTTTCTTTCCCCAGGTTGCTGGCACTGGCTTCCCTCTGGCTGCCACAAGGCACCTGGGACCTGGGTTTCCCTTGCAGCCCTGGCTTCATCTAGTCTAGTTATCATATTAGACTTTTATTATTATAGATTATTATAGACTAGAGGCCCGGTGCACAAAATTCGTGCGGGGGAGGGGTGTCCCTCAACCCGGCCTGCACCCTCTGCAATCTGGGACCCCTTGGGGGATTTCCGACAAACCAAAATGTGGAACGTTTTACAAAATAACTGACAGTCGGACAACCCTCTCATAATCTGGGACCATTGGCTCCTAAACCAGCAGTTGGACATCGCCCTCACAATCCAGAACTGCTGGCTCCTAACCACTTGCCTGCCTTGATTGCCCCTAACCGCTTCTGCCTGTCAACCTGATCGCCTCTTCACTGCTCCCCTGCTGGCCCGATTACCCCTAACTGCCCTCCCCTGCCGGCCCTATCGCCCCCCAACGGCCCTCCCTTGCTGGCCTGGTCACTTCCAACTGGCCTCCCCTGCCAGCCTGGTTGCTCCCAACTGCCCTCCCCTGCTGGCCTGATCGCCCACAACTGCCCTTCCCTGCCAGCCATCTTGTGGCGACCATCTTGTGACAGCATCACACGAGGGTGTGACACCACCTAGGCTTTTATTATATAAGATGTCTCACTACTGCAAAACAAGCAAGGGTTTACTTTAAATAGATATTCACTGATTTTAAATCAGCCTAAGTACCTCCTAAAAAACAAACAAATAAATAAATAAACCATCAAACCTTTAATGTCTTGTTGTAACGCTGAAGTTCCCTGCAGAGAGACTCTAGCTTGCTTCTTGCCAAGACAGCCTTGTTATGTTCACTCTGCAAGTGAACTTTCTCTTTCACGATCTGGGATTGCTTCTTCTGTAAAACCTTCATTTGTTTCTGAACATTCCAACTCTCCTCCAGCTAAAAAACAAGCACACTTAGAATTTAGAAATTATAGTAAGAACCTTTGAGTTCCAAGTGAAAGAATTCCAGTCACGGAACCTTTTATTCAGTTGTGAAAGCCAGTATACAAAAATAAGTGTATGAAGAAAACCAATCTCAATGAGTACTTTTAAAACATTAAAAACAAATATTGAAAAAAAAACTTCTCATGCATTAATAACATCTAGTTTTACTTTTGTATACGAACATACAAATGTAAGCAGCACTCTGGAGTCTTTGTAAGTGAGGAAGCCAATTTTATAGTTAGAGCAAATTATTCTATTTTATACTAACAGATAAAATAGTAGTCTTGGTGACAGTTCAATAAAGCTTTCATGAAGAATCAATGACAAGAGCAAGAGATAGCTAAGAAACCTATCAAGCAACAACATATTTATGCCTATTAAAAACACCTCTATTAAAATTGATAACATGGGTAAAAAGAGTCAAAATATAACGAGAAGAAAACTAGACCTTTGTCAGTAAGCATGCAATAGAGTATACAGATATTGATTCCTAATGTTGTATAACTGAAATTTATATTAACCAATGTCACCTCAATAAATTTAATAATTTTGCTTTTCTATTTTATCATAAACCATAAGCACAGCACATTTAAACTGGTTTAGGTTCTGCACAAATTATCTGTAACTCAATCTCTTTCTTTCCCACTCCAAATATTCTTATATACCAGAACATGAGTCAAAATAGTATACCTATTTTAACTGTACTCTTTAATGGTAACAGTAATAACAAATTGCTGGTGTTGAAGCTAAGAAATGACTGTCCTATTTCACTAAATTACACTTATTTTACTAGGTACTGAAAATTCAGCTAATAAACATTAATGATATAAAAGACATCAAAAGAGCCCCAGAGATGGATACATACACAAGGGAGTTATAGATATGTAAAAATGGCTTTTTTTCTCTAATAAATAAAAGGCATAGTCATCTGCTTCAAAAGAAAGAGGATAAAATGAGGTTAAGGGTTTATAATTAATGAAAAAGGCAACTAATACTGTGGGTTTTTTATAATAGTGTGTCCCTCATGAGAGAGTCAGAAACAAGAGGCTAAAGTGACATCATGGAAGGGGCAGAGTAGAAAGGCCAGGAATCTGTCTCCAAAGCATGACAATAATTGCACTTGCACAAACTGTCTGATATAAATATTTTGGAACTCTGAAGTCCTTTCAAAGGCTTGGGCCTTCCAGAAAAATGATTGGCCAGTAAATAGTGGTAAATTTTGGTTCACCTTCAGTCAACAGTGCTATAGCAGCTCCTCATTCTTCTACTCCACAGCCAGCCCTGTAATAGTAGCCATACTAATACTTCTGAAGTTTCTTTTCACTTAATTGGTTTTTCCATTATAATCATATACTGTTTGTTTGTTTTTTTTTACTTTGTCCCTATCTTCCTTTAGCTCTTTGGAAATTTTAAATATAGCTAATTTAAAAGTCTGATAATTCTACCACCTGAACAAAAATGTCTTCCTCTTGGACAGTTTCTATTGATTTTATCTTTTTCCTTTGAAAGAGTCATATTTTTCTATTTCTTCATATGCCTTAATGTTGTTGTTTTTTTGTTACTGAAAAATGGGTCATTTCAATTTTATAATGTAATTCTGGATATTAGATTATCTTCCTTGAACATGGTTTGTTTTCTTGTTTTTGTGGAGTATCTCTGTTTTGGAGATTAGCCTAAGATGTAAACTTAAAGTCTTGTCAGGTTTACTTTGCTCCTAGGCTTTGCATGCTAACTTTCTAAATTTCAGCAGATACATAGATATTTTTAAATGTCCCAGTACATAAATATTTGGCTCCCCAAATGGGAAAAAATAGTACAAATAAAGGGAAAATAATAAACTTGGGTCTGTTTCCTCAAACCTTTGCATGCTTTTCACACAGAGGCAGCAACAATGGTAGCCCATTTTCATATCTGCACCTTCAGGATGAGATATGTTAATTAGCATTCAGAACACAGATTCCCTGATATTCAGAGGACTGTCTTTATTGTTTTCCCTGATTTCTTGACTGCTTTGATTCTAATGAGCAATAGGAACTTGTATTTATGAGACTGTTCTTGGCCAGATAACACCCAGGGCACTGCATAGATAGCAGACTGAAATACACTCTCAGTCTTTCAATAAAAGGGGTCTTTTTGCTTGTCTTAGAGCGTCAGCCTGAAGGGCAGCTTTCTAGTTTGGCATATATAGAGAAACCTATGAAGGGAACAGAGGCCAGTGATCTACATCCTTCTGTTCAACCAATGACTTGTATCAGGGCACCAATATAGCTGAGAGAGCAGCTTGTGCACTTATTTAGCACTCTGATTTTTGTGGTTGCCTCCCAAGGGGATACCTCTTGATTGCCTAACTCTGAAGGCCAGTAGAGCTTGCACTTATAGCTCCCATGAGATGGTAGAAATGGAAAAACAGCTGTTAGGTCACCGAAGGAGGGACGCATGAGGCTAGAATGGTGAAGGAATACAAATTTATTTGATCATCCCAACATCAGGTGGTTGAGCCTGGATGGCTCCAGCACCTAGTGACTGGAGTCAGCAGCTTTTAAAGGACTTTTCCTGGGATTTTTCTGGGCGGAGACTTTTTTATGCATACCCAGAGGGGAGATAATGGAATGTGGTCACCACAAGTGAAATGTGGTCTCAGCAAAGGGAATGTCCATAGTGAAATGACATGAAAAGCCAGTTCCCGGGGGAGAGGTATCAATTCAACTGCTTGATCAAATCTAACATTCCAGCCTTTTTGTTTTATGGAATAGGGATGAAGGTCATATCTTCTGTTATTAATTCCTGCTGAGGTGAGGCGTCAAGATCACAGGGAAAGGACTTTGATAGTAGTGGGCTGCTGGGGTCCAACCCCAGCGGGTCCAGGGGTCCCCAAAGGTGTGGACGAAGTCGGCGAAGAAGGAATGACACAGAGGCAGCGTTCAGTCAATCAGCATAGCCAGGTTCTCTTGTCAGGTTCTCCAGGTTCTGTTGCCAGGTTCTATCCAGGTTCTTTTGCCATGTTCTCTTGCTAGGTTATGTCTGTAGGTTCTGTGTCTAGGTTCTGTCTCTAGGTTCTGTGTAGGATCTCCAGCCAAGTCCTGTCTCTAGGTTCTGTGTAGGATCTCCAGCCAAGTCCTGTCTCTAGGTTCTGTGTAGGATCTCCAGCCAAGTCCTGTCTCTAGGTTCTGTGTAGGATCTCCAGCCAAGTCCTGTCTCTAGGTTCTGTGTAGGATCTCCAGCCAAGTCCTGTCTCTAGGTTCTGTGTAGGATCTCCAGCCAAGTCCTGTCTCTAGGTTCTGTGTAGGATCTCCAGCCAAGTCCTGTCTCTAGGTTCTGT